TACCTCTCCAGGAACACTCATGGCCTGCCTGTTGCCACTGATAGCCATAGCAGGGGGAATGGCTTCTGCTGGGGGCTGGGTATTTGTGACTAGTCTAATAAATGAGGAATCACTCAGACAGAGAGGAAGAGATGTGAGCTTTGCTTTCCCTGTTGACACCACTGTGTGTAGTAGGCTAGAACAAGTGCCCCCACTAACCAGCCAGTGAGGAGCCCAGGGTTCCCAGAGTCAACAAGGCTATCAAACCCTTTTGAGCAGCGAGGCCAGAATGAATTCCAGCTGCAGGGATTGCCACCTGTACATATGTCTGTTAGGTGACCAGCTGTTTCACTTTCCTCAGATCATGCCCTGGCCCCAGAAAATGCATCTGTCCTATGTACCCCCTTTTCTGTCAGCTGGGTGGGACAGGAAGCCAAGGAGAGGCTGAGCAGGTGGGACTCCAGGCCCCAACCCACCCCCAGCTTACAGGAACTCAAGCCCTCCTCACTGACTTCAACAGTGGACATTTGACATCGGCACCAGGAATTGTGGAAACTGAGGATTATCCTAGGATGGGAGGTGGTAGTGGTGGGGTGAATAGATCTAGACTACACTGACCTTGGGAGCCACCTGCCAGGTGAAGAGGAGTGAAGAGGAGGGAGAAGAGAAGTGGGTGGTGAAGACAAGAGCAGGACCCACAGAGAATGGAAAGATCTAGACAGAGAGGCATGGAAAGGACAGAAATAAGATGTATCTTTCCCAGCTCAAAGAACCAAGATGGGGAAGGAATCTTTGCAGAACTTTGGCTCATGCAAGCCAGAAGCTCTGCTCACTGTACAGAAGACAGACTTACTTGGATCGTGAGAGCACTATCGAAGGCAGAACTACTGTGGCAAGCATCCCCTCTGCTTTCATCCTGTCTCCTTGTGGATGCAGTGTGTGCCAGCCTGAGGGTGTGGCTACCCTCCAGGGGGTGGGGACCAGCAGAAGATATTGGGAAGATGTGCCTTCTCTATGGTGAAGGCACAGAATGGTTTCCAATGTGTTCCTGTGCCGTCACTAGTCACCCATGAGACGGGCACTTCAGAACCTCAGTAATTCTGTACATTTAATGCTGTCCCAAACTTTACCCCAAATTTCTAGACAGAATCAGGGCCTGAACAATAACCATATTTTTTTATTCCACACCTGAAGGAGAGCATACCAGCCAAGAAGCTGTGTTGTCCAATGAGAGTACTGGGGGGTGATGTTATAAAGATAGCAAAAAAAAAAAAAAAAAGAGGAGCAAGTACGCACGGGGGCCTTGTTTGTGGGATGTCGCCAGTGTTCTCTCTATTGGACCTTATAAGAGCGATAAAAGAAAAAGAGCCTCTTTATGCCCATTGCATAGATGAAGAAACAGGTATAAAAGCCACTGAACAATGCTCAAGGTTATCTATCTAGTGAGACATGCCAGCAAAACATCAAAAACCACAAGGTCCCTGGGCTTTTCCTTGCTGTCATTCAAAAGACCATGAACCACCCCCCTTCATTTCTCCCCACTAAGTAAATACAGCCATTTCTTCAAAAGAAAATGACGAGGCTGGGAAGGTGGGCCAGTGAGTAGAGTGCTTGCCATGCCAGCATGGGAATCTGCATTTGGATCCCCAAGACCCTGTGACTCATCCCAGCACTAAGGAGGTAGAAGGTGGGAAGACCCCTTAGACTTGCTGGCCATCCAACACAGCCAATCACTGAGCTGAGGGTTCAGTAAACCTTGTCTCAGAACCTAAGGTGGAGAACAATTGAAGACGTCAACATCTGGCCTACGCACAAATTGCGAACATAGAGACACACTCACACACATGAGCATGCACACACAAAAAAAAAAAATAAATGTGAAAAAGTTCTCCCAAATGTGGTCTCCCTCTTCCTTAACCCCACACAGAGGAGGCTGGAGTAAGTGTGCCTGAACCTTTTCCTTTGTCATGCTGTGTCTCAGGTAGGGCTGCTCCTGTGCAGAGGCAGATGAGGGATGCACTCCTTGACCCAGACTGGCTGTAAAGGCGCTGTTCCAACCCTGACTCTTATGTGTTCTCATTCTCCAAAGTCTCAGATCAACAGGACACCTGAACCTGTCACAGACTAGGCCTCACATCCATGGGAGGTGGGGAACAATTAAACCAGAACCACATATGACCACTGCAGTTAGCACCAGGTGTTTCCCAAGCTTGAGCAAGGTGCCCACACTGTTGTTACCAGCCAAGGACTGCAAAGAGCCATTCTGTAGTGTGGGAAGGTGTTTCCCCCATCCTTGGGGGGCTCTGTGCCAAATTGTAGAGCGGACTCTTCCATCTGGAGTAACCTCTCAGCAGGAGCCTCTCCTGAAGGCCAAGGTTGCCCTCAGGGCGGCAGAGTGCAGCAGGAGCCCAGACGGTAGCTTATGTGGGCTTTGCTGTAAAACTCTTTCAATGTTTGCAAACACCTGAACTTCACAGTAAGACGTTAGTAGGGGGAACAGAGGGAGCAACAGCCAAGGCTTTCTCAGCTCAGGCACCGCAGGGTCCCAATAAGCTGCAAAATGGAGTCCCTTCTCTGTGCCCTTTCCTCTAAATCTTTGCCTTCCTTCATTCTCAGACCCAGGGCCATTCACCATCTTGACTGTCCTCACACCTCCACGAAACCTTCCCTTCCTCTTCCTTTAGCAGCAGAACCCACTTCCCCAGAAGGTTCCCTAATCACCACCCTGGATAGAGAGGAGGTGGGAAACAGGCCGGCACAGAGAAAATCCTATCACCTTCAGTGTCTATCCCTGGGCTCTGCGTATTTGGGGGGGGGGGGGGGGGGCAGGCTGTGATGGTGATAATAAAATTAAAACATCAGGTCTAGACTCCAGCTAAGCCAAAGCAGCAGACTTATGGTCTTGCTCTCTCCACGGGGGCTTTGCTGCACTCAGCATTGTGGCAGGCATGGGGCATGTGCTCAGGAGAGATGTGTTGTCGGGTCGTTACTAATGTGAGCCAAAAAAAAAGAGCCCCAGCATGCCTGGTGCCTTACAGAGACCTCAGAGGCAGGGCAGGGTGGAGCCCTCATCATCTCATTCACCCTCTCCTTCAGCCAGAACCAGCACAGGGTAGGGCTGAGAATAGCCCAGATCATTCAGGCCCAGGCCCTGGCCTTGAGCAGTCTAAGGCCCATGGGTCAGTGCATCCCTGAGGCTCCAACATTGGGGAGCAAAAATGAAGAAACGGAAACCTGCACCCAGCAGTCAGCATCCACGCGGCAAAGACAGGCCCCAAGGAGGAGGTGTGTCGTTGATTGGCTCCTTTGCTCTCCACTTGCTCGCTTTCTTTAAGTGTCAGGGTCGTCATCTGGAAAGCAGATCATGCCTGTAGCACTTGGTGGATACGGGACAAAGCAAGATCATTTAAGATGAACATTCATCGGCTCCTTTCCTTTCCCCAGACAGGGAAGGGGCTACGTGGCCACCTGCAGCTCCTCTTTTAACCTGCTTCCTTCCCACAGGCCCCGTGCCCACTGGAGTTGTTCCAGGCTAGAGCTGACATTTCATGTTACAGGCCCAGTTATCTGTTTCCTAGGAAACAAGGGATAACGCTAACTCTGCAACAAGTCTTCCCTCCAACCCCTAACACACACACACACACACACACACACACACACACACACACACACACACGAGTCTATCAGCTAGAATGGCAATTAAGAATAAAGTACAAGTCAGCCGCTAAAATTAGTTTATATATCTTTACCTTGTGCTGCTGTTTCCCGCCAGCTGGACACCTAGGGACAGAAGCACAGGCACCCTGTATGGCACACCCTCCAAAGGGCAGGCCCCAGGCCCCTCTTTGCACCCTACCCTGCTTCTTTCCAAGAGACAGAACAGGTGGTCCCCCACTGGGGTTCTCCCTCCCTCTGAATGACTTCTCTTTGGCTTCTTTCTGAACCTCAAGGTTGTCACCAGAGACACACATTCTGCATGTCCATCCCCTACTCATCTTGCCTCCCCACCCTCCAAGCCACTCACAGACTCCTGTCTATGGCACCTCAGGACTGAAATCAGAACATCACCCTCCCCCCTTTCCCCTCACCTGCGTTCTGCACCCCTGAGCTCCTGCCCACGAGTACCCCTCTGCCTTTTGTCCATCTACACTGTGCATCTCCTCTACTTCCAGCAGGCCATGGGCTCCAGGTACCTGTGTTGTCACCCAGGGTCTTCCAGGCGACTTGAGAGAGAACCGAGACCCAGGGCACATCCCCTGAGAAGCTCCTCTTCATCTTCCTGGGTGGGATCAGTGGCTGGCTTCCTCTGTGCTCCACAGTCCCTTTCACCTGTGGCGTGGAAGGGATCATATGGCATTAATTACTATACACACTTAGGCCGTCCTGCCTTAGTGCCAGGTGTTGTTCAGAGAGCTCTCCAGGTATTTAACTCCCACAACAACCCTAGAGGTGTGTGTCTCTTATCTGGCGCCTCAGCTTCCCCGAGACCTCAGGGAGGCAGCCCCACCATTGACTCAGCTTTAAGTCAGACACCTGTGCCCAGCATAGCAGCGGCTTACAAGTGAGATTTCCTGGGGACTGTACCATTGATTCGCTTCTGTCACCCCAGCGTCTAGATGAGTGCTTAGTCAGTTTTTGTGGAGTAATTAAAGAACCGTTGCATTGAACTGGTACCTAGTCCCCCACCGAGATGTTCTCTTGGTGTGTTTCCCCTGCTGTCCTTCCAGAGTGCCTGATGGTTTCAAACGGGCTTTTCTTTTTCTTTTTCTGTAATTGGTTGGCAAATAAGGCTTTGTGGGGTTTGCCTCCTTATCACATCCTAAGCATAGGTTTTGTTACATCACACAAAAGCCTTTTTGGTTGAGCACTTGAAACCACTAAATAGAATGCATTCGGGCGACCACAAAAAGTGCATCTGGGCCCGGCTGCAGAGGCAGCGGGCGTTCAGCACTGGAGCAGGGAGTGTGTGGAGCTCGTGGACATCCTGATAACCACAGGTGTCTGTCTTCCTCTTGGTGCAGCATTACTTCACAGTGAACTTCACCCATGAGAACCAGAAGGCACTGGAGCTGAGGACTGAGGATGCGAAGGACTGTGACGAGTGGGTGGCAGCCATTGCTCATGCCAGGTATGTCTCACCCTGATAGACTGCCTAAGTGGAAGAGACCAAACCAAGGAAGCTTCTGCAAGTCCAAGCCTCAGGACAAGGAGATGGGAAGGGAGGGGAGGGGAGTGTAGATGTTGTGAGAGTCTTGGCCACCCCACAGTACGAGAGCACTGCAGACTCCCATTCTGTTCTAACCACATAGTCACATCTCTAATGTGTGCAGCCACCAATTTAATGTGTGACCATGAACTAGTCCCCTCTTTTTTCTGAACTAAAACTAACCATGCCCTGGCAGAGCTAAACACTGTCAAGTGTAGCACCATCCAGCTGATCCTCTAGACAGCTGATCTCGCCGACCTAGTAAATAATGAGGTGTTATTGTGGCTACCTTCCTATAAAATGTGAACTGAGGTCAGGAGCGATGTGTGACTCTGCATTCTCAATGAGTGATTAAAAAAAAACATAGAAAAGGTGTTCAGCAGGTGTGAGTTGGAAGAATGCAAAGAAAAAATGGAAGGATGGAGGGTAGATACAAGGCTGCAGTCTGAAAATTAGTGATTAATGGGAAATTAGTGATAGATGAATGAAGGATAATATGATATGAATTGGTGTTTGAAGTATATGTGGAGGATGGAAGGATAGATGGATACATGGGTCCTTTGGGCTTGAAACTCACTTGCCCAGAAACCGATATTGTGACCCTAGCAATGGCCTTAGCCCTAAGATCATGCCATCTCTGTTTCTGTCTACAAAAAGTATTCAGTCTCAGCTACAGAGACCCAGCAATAGACAGGGAAAAAGCAATAGACACAGGCCTAGTGCAAAGTGCTAGGGAGCTAGAGCTGGCTGCCACACAAGTATTTCCCTGACACATATCACAGTTTGATGAGTGACATTATTTCCCTCTTCAGGGAAATGGGGGTAGAAGTAGGGTACCAAGTGGGCCTTAGTGAAGGATGGGAAGGAAGATTTCATGGGTTTAAACATGAGCATCTCAACAATAACACCTCCCTCCCTATATCTCTCTCAAAAAAAATTTAAAAAAAAAATTTTAAAACCTTATTTAAAGCACTGATACATGGAAGATAATTTAGAGAATAATGAGGAAATGAAGTTTAGATGTTAAAAAGCAGATGAGGACCAGTGAGATAGCTCAACAGATAAAGGCACACCCCACCAAGCCTGGAGGACTTGAGTTCAATCACTGGGACCCACTTAGTGGAAGGAGAGAGAGGGAATGCTGTCCTCTGACTTCCACAGGTACACGCACACACACACATACGTACACACACACACACACACACACACACACACACACACACACACACACACACACAAATAGAAAACATGTAATATAAAAAACTTTTCAAGCATATGAGGTGGACAATTGGCTGTCATAAGATCGTAAATGAGCTCAAATTTCCTGTTGAGATGTTTGGCCTTTCCTCTCTGAACCATAGAAGCCACTGAAGGTCTTACACCAGGAGAGTAACATGACCAGAGCTGATGGAGACCAGGAATTGCTGGGATGTTCCAGATGAAACTGCATGAAGAAGAAACTAGGTTCAAGGACAGCAATTGGACCTCAGCCTCCCAGCATCAAAGGAGAACCAATAACAAACAGGGTTTGATTTTGAGATCAAAACATTTCACTTGAAGATCAAATGAAATTATTTACATGAAGGAACTTCATAAGTATTTAAGCACTACAGGGATTTTCTTTTGCATTTATTTATTTACTTTGTGGGAGCTACAGCATGCATGTGGAGGTCAGAGGACAACTTGCAGGAGTTGGTTCTCTCTTTCTACCATGTGGGATCCAGGGTTCAAACTCAGGGCATCAGGCATGTGGCATATAACCTTTACCTGCTGAGCTGTCTTATGGGCACTTCATTAGAATTTTAATTCATTATTCATCAATATAAACAATTTCTAGAGACAATGCAATAACAAGGTCTATATGGTAGGTGGCTAAAATGATGAAAACTGACAATACCAAACGCTGGTGAAAGGCTGGAAGTACTTAGGCAGCACCAGAGGAGTGTGAAACAGCACAACCAACCGAGACATGACCAAGCAGCTGCTTACCGTACGATCTGTCATCTATTAGTTCCATTTTTTGGTACCTAATCAAGAGGAATAAGAAATGACCGCAAAAAGTCTCCTATGTAAGTGTCCTTAACTGCTTTATTCAAGTCATCAGCCATGATGTCTCTGAACAAGCTAATATATAAACAAACCTCCAGTGCATCCATGAAATGGAATATTGCTGGGAAATAAACATGAATCGACTACAGTTATGCACTACAAGATGGATGAATTTCAAAATCAATATGCTGAGTAGATATAGCAAAAAAAAAGTGCTATATGATCTCAGTAATATGAAATTTGACAAGAAAAAAGTAAACAGGGTAATGGAAACAGGAAGAGCAGTCGCTTCTGGGGTGGGAATAGAGTGGGAAATGGTTCCTGGGTGCTAGAAATTATCTTTGCCTTGGTTCAGGGTTTATGTTTTTCTACCATAATTGCTCACACTGTTACTGGTATTTGGGACCTGGACCGGGTATGTCCAGGCTCTTAGTATCTTATTCAAAGAACTGAAAGGCTCACACAAAACTGTAAAAGTAGCAAAGCAGTAGAAGAGGTCAGATACTCTAGCAAGAGTGACAGCGGAACCCAAGAGAGAAAAGATTCATGGCCCAATTATTGTTTAGCACTTCCTTTTATGGGGTTCAAATAAAAAATGAGTTTTTGTTGCTTAAGGGTGTGGGTGGGGTTTTTTTATCTTGATTGATATGTTGTTATAGACTTCTTTTCTACTGTACATATCCTTTCCCACAATTCACCTTATTTTAATCATATGCATGCCCAATTATGTATAATCATAAAATGGCAAATATGGAATTTCCCCTAAAAGTTCACTTTAAGGATGCAGTTTGCCTTATTACAAATTAGCACCCAAAAGCTAGCTCAGGCCAGATTGACCTTCCTACTCTGCACCAGAGCATAACTAGAGTATGACTGAACCAAATCTGTCTAAGTCTGATGGTTGTTAAGGAAAGAAGAAAGAATATTGCCTTCTTCAGAGAGGGATGTACTTGCAAACCAGTGCATATAGGAGTCCTAGGTTGCTAACAGATTGCCAGGTGAGTTCCCTAAAAGAGTATGTGTGTGCAAGTGTGTGTGGGGTGTGTGTGTGTGTGTGTGTGTGTGTGTGTGTGTGTGTGTGTGTGTGTTATTCAAGTAAGAATTTCAGGCTATCAAGTGCATTGTTAAAAGAGAGGTGCAGGTGTCTCCTAAGCCAAGTTTGAGTCCCAAGTTGCTAAACTACCTCCCATGCTTGTCTTCCTCAACATTGTGGCGTTAGGATCTGTGCTTTCCACAATGTGTGCACTGAACTTCACATTTTAAAAATGAATGATGAATATTAAAATGTTTCAGTTTTCTGTTGCTGCATAACAAATCACCACAGACTTGTCAGCTTGAAATTTCCTTTCATTATTTTGTGGTTCTATGGATCAGAAGTCCAGGCTCAACTGACATCTTTGCCCAGCACCTTGTGAGGCTGAAATCAAGGTCAGGTCACTGAACTATGAGCTTTATTCAACCTCAACCTAAGAGAGAGAATGTACATGCAAGTATATGTGTGGATATGCATGTATTGCAAGAATTCCTTCCCTGGGGAAAAGTAAAAAAAAAAAATGTCCACCTTGTCTTTGTAAAGTCCCAACCAGCAAACCAAAGGTTCCACAGGGTTCACCCTGGGAAACGAGTGAATTTATTGGGCTCAGCTACAGAGCAGTGAAGGATTAGTGGCAGGACTGTAAAGCACCCATACTGGAAAGTCTTCATTCAGCATAGATTATGATTTTCCCACAGCCACATAGATGAAGCCCCAGACAATATACTCTTACACCTTCCCACACCCCAAGGTCACGTGCAAAAATGGCCAAAGGGAGGGCCTGGAGTCTCTGACGAAGATCCAGTGACCCTCCTCACCCCTTCCTTCTATGAGGGAATGTCAACCTGGAAGACCACATTCCACAGCAGTGTGTGCGTGTGTGTGTGTGTGTGTGTGTGTGTGTGTGTGTGTGTGTGTGTGTGTGTGCAGCAGTGGCAGCAACAGCTGGCTCTCTGCCACAGCCATATTGAGTATGAAGTATTTTTACATATTCCCAACTTAGTTTTTATTTACATATACTTAATAGAAACACTCCGGGTATAAAAATAAGCACTGTGGTGTATTAATACCATGTGGAGACACAATGTTCTCTCACACTGTATGTATCATAGTCTAGTATTATGGGATGCCTCTGTAGTGTATGTGTATAGTCATTTGTAAGATAAGGCAGTATGCTTCATATCCAGCATTTTAGTGAGAGCTAGCAAAGAGACTGAAATGCACTCTCAGGCCCTAGGGCCAATTCCACCTCCAGCTTTGACACCGAACAACTGTTGTTCTAAGTCAATTGCTTCTCCTTTCCTGGACTTCAGTGACTTCACTGAGTAAACCATACAGTCAACCTTTCATGACCCCTGGGTTTCCTTCTAGCTCTGAAAGTCTATGAATTCATAAAGACTGCACACACCAGGAGTGCCTCGGTCAGTCCCCACTGGAAGGATTCCAGGAGTGGAAGGAGTAGGGGGAGGAAAAGTAAAGAATGGGATGTGGGTGGGTAGAAAGGGAGGGAAAGTGATGTTGTCTTTGTTTTTTATTGTTGTTACCAAATAGCTGAAATAATCAGCTTAAAGGAAGAAAGACCTACTTTGGTTCATAATTTCGGGCCACAGTTGGCTGGCTCTGTGAAATTTAGACCTATATTAGGACAGAGACATCTTGTGAGAAGGGTGTGGCAGAGGGAAACTGTTCCCCTCATGACTACAAGAAGCAGAGAGACAGAAGCAAAAGCTAAGGAGAAGACAAACCCTCAAAGACACACTCCCCAGCCACTCACCTCCTCCAATTAGACCTAACCTACCAGTTTCTACTACCTCCCAACAGTCCATTCAATGATGAATTC